CAAGTTTAGTACTCGAGCGCAGAAACAAGGAATACAAAAATCAATCCGAAAAAAACACAAGCAAACATTAGAAAAAAAATTGGACGTAATACAAGAAAAAGACAAAAAAAAAAATAAAAAAAAAAAAATTCAAAACCAACGCTGTAGGAAAAGCATAAAATGAAACGAAAATTACCTCAAACTAAGATTGAAACCTCGAAAGCAACTTGCACACAACAATGGAGTCGGTTATGGTCTGAAAAAATCGAGAGGAAGAGAGAGTGAGAAAAGCGTGAGGAAGAGAGCAACAGAGAAATTAAAATTTAAAATATTAAAACGGTTATGTTAAGGTGTGGGCTACTGGGTGAAAATAAAATTTCATAAGTTAGCCAACATGGGCTATGCCAGGTAAAGGCCTCAAAATATGGGCTATTTTTGAGTGGGTTGTATGGCCCAAGTGACATAGAGTGTAATTTCTTCTTTAGAAAATACATGTTTTTAACCGTACAAATAATTCAACAATAGAAAATACATACATACATACATACATACATACATATACACATATATATTCACAAATATATTTGTACTAATTTCTTTTCTTATTTGATTATATTTTATCCAATTCACTTTAGTTATATTTGTCACGCAGAGTACATATTCGATAAGGTGATATTGTGACCTTGAGATCTAATTATACGAATCACACAAGACTATCTTTGGATTATGAGAAAGATAGTGAAAGCTAAAGAGAATTTTGAGCACCAGGATATAACTATGAAGATCTATGGCAGATGCATGATTGCTCTATCAAGCACATCATAAACTGCGAGGAGACTTTAGCAAAGTGAGCTGGAGGAAATTGGTATGCAACAATGCAGGGTGTCCTAGGTGGATATTCATGGTAACTCTGGTGGCAAATGGCAGACTATATTCAAAGGATAGATTGCTAAAGTGGGGCATTCAAACTGATCAAACATGTCCTCTATGCACACAGGCAAATGAATCTATCCAACATCTATTCTTTGAGTGCCAATATGCAGCTGAATTATGGAAAAGGATGCTCAAATGGCAAGGTTTTAGTAGGAACATATATGGTTGGTCTGAGGAGCTGAAATGGGCAGAAAACTGGACAAGAAGCGGGAATGTAAAAACAGAACTATTCAAGATGGTATTAGCAGGGTGTGTATATTATGTTTGGTAAGAAAGGAATGCAAGACTATTTCAAGCTAAAGCGAGGAGCTAGGAGATAATTGGCAAGCTAATAGTACAAGAAGTGCATTGTAGAAACAACAAGAAAGTAAGAAAAGCTCTAAGTAAACTGGATTACTATACAATGTAATAGCTAGAAGTAAAAGATAGCAATAGAATGTACGGGGGGTTAGGGGGGGGGGGGGAGGGGGATGGGAGAAGGAAGTATAGGAAGCAAAGGAATATAGTTAAGGGTTTTATATTGATTGTAAATATTTTCCCTGGTATATAAAAATTTAATTACCAAAAAAAAAATTATTGTAATAACGTCAAGATGTTCTTTAACTTATGAACTTAAGCTCATTTGTCGAAGCTAAGTCATTACTAGAGAAAGCAATGTCATCCACATAAAGCTTCGAAGGACAAGACCTGATTTAATTAAACTATCCGATCTAATTATTAATTTACTAATATGATTGTCTATACTTTCATACCCGTATGATTCTTTTTCAATTCGATATATTCATATTTAAATTTTTTATCTTCATACACGCAACTACTTTGATCAACATAAGGAAAGCACACAAATAAATATAGAAGCAGAAAAATATTATACGAGCTTAGTTTATATACATAAATATTGAAAAGAAATTTGTATGCTATTAGCTCACCCGAAAGATATTTTAAAGTAACTTTTTATAATAAAGTTATCTTATCTATCATATAACGCCAATTTAATAATTAAAAAATTTCTTTACATTAAAAATGCATATAAGTTAAACTCGGAATATTTACTACGTAATAATTTTTTTTAACTAATGACATCTCAATTTTCAGAGAACATGTTATACTTTGTTAGTTCAAGTGGAACAACGACTTTAACTCAAGTTACTTTTAAAGTCAAATTTAAAGAGGTCAAAATGCTTTGAAATTTCAAACAAAAATTCCCAAATCCCTTGTGTCTGTCCGCGACCCGGCCGAGTTAAGACAAACCAGAACGAGTCAACTCAATCCAGGAAGCGGAACTCAAACCTTCCAATAAACCAAAATCTATAGACCTAATTCACGTCCGTTTTCCCCCTTTGCTGGGTTCTCCTCCTCCTCTTCGCCTTCAATTCTTTCATAATCACACAATCGATTCCCTTGTTTTCTAAATCGTAACCCTAAAAAGAGTTCCCTCACAAACCCAATTGCCTTATTGGTTTTTACTTAATTTTCTAAATACCTAGTTCTTTGGGGCTTCAATATTATTGTCCTTATTTGGTTCTCAAAAAGCAACCTCTGAAGCCTTGATTTGGTTTTTTTCCTCATCTGTGGGTTTGTTTAAGTTTTCAAACTGGCTATGGACTACGAACCGTACGACAGCAGTGGTTAGTGTTTTCAAGTTTTCATTTTTTTTTCCTTTAGTTTTGTGGATTTGTAGTTTAATTAGGGTACAAGGCTAGTGAAATTAGCGTCTGCATTGTGAAAGTTGGGATCTTTTTTCTCCTATTTTTGTTAGATTGGAATTTTGAGCTGTTTGCACTTTGTATGTGGGCAATTGAGGTACTGGGTATGTTTAGTTTGAGGCAAAAATTTAATCTTTTTTGCTTTTTCCTTTAGAATTATGGTTTATATGATTATGGGTGTTGTCAATATGTGTTTAATTTTTCAGTGAGAAGTTTAAACTGAAATTATTGTGAGAATTATTGGTTTTATTATGAAATAACGAAAACTTGCCTGCAAAAACTGTTAAGCTGTTATAAAAAAGCAAATGTAAAGTGGAGTTGGTAGTTGAATTGTTGTTCTATGTGCAGCTTTGTGACAGTCTTCAAATGCTTGTAGTTCTGCCACAAGATCTTGATACTGAATAGAAGTTTAAATCTCATTTTGGAACCTTTAAAATTGTTACTCAGCTGTAGTTTAGCTTTTAGTTTTATACTGAAAATGGTATATTGAGAATTTCTTTTGTTGTATTGAAATCCACACTGCCTTGAAGTGACAGTTCGTGCAATGTAGTTTTCCTCATATGTTCATATGCCTTTATTAATCACACAGTGCTGATATGGATAATTCTCATATGTTGTGTTGTATTATGATTACACCTAATGTTTCGATTTTCTGACAACCTGATGGAATGATTGCAGGAACGGATGATGATCTTCCTCCATCACATCAAAATAGGATACCAAGAGGTGGTGGCCGCATGAATGGAAATGGGAGATCTGCTGTCATGGCATCTGTACCCTACCAAAGGATGTATGGTGAAACTGACATGGAGGCCCAAATTCACCAGCTCGAGCAAGAAGCATACAGTTCGGTTCTAAGAGCCTTTAAAGCTCAAGCTGATGCCATTACTTGGGTACCTTTTGTCATACTCATGAAATCTAATATGTTCATTTGTTTGATCAGGTTTAAATGACTGCTCAATGAATATATTTTATTCAGGAGAAAGAAAGTTTGATCACGGAGTTAAGAAAAGAGTTAAGATTGTCCAATGAAGAACATCGAGAACTTCTTGGTAGAGTTAATGCTGATGATGTCATCCGAAGAATAAGGTTAGCTCTATTTTTAACTCTTGGTCCCTACGTCCATCTCGATTTGGTTTAGTGAAGTTTCTGTATTCTAGAGTTTGTCACAGTTCTAAAGGCTGGCCTTTGATTATCGCTTTTATAGGGAGTGGAGGCAGTCGGGGGCTCATCAACCTGGTATGCTTGGCACCGCTCAAGCTATTCACGACCCATTACCTAGCCCTTCTGTCTCAGCTTCGCGGAAGAAACAGAAGATAGCGCCATCTTTACCGTCACAGTCCTTTGCTGGACCATCTCCTACTTTTCACCCACCTGCTCTGGCTGCTGCAAGTCAGCCGTCTTCATCCGCTGCCAAGAGAGGGCCTATAATGGGGCCTAAGGGCAACAAGAGTAAATCTGTAAGTCTGATGCTTTATGCTTTATTCTGTGCAGTTGAGCAATGCATGGTTTAACTATTCTCTTAGTTCTGAGTGTTTTCCTGCTATGCATCTATTCATAGGGCCAGATGATGCCTGGTGCATCCTCAATGAAAATGCAGTACCCTTCCTCTGGTCCATTTGGAAGAGGCCAACTAGGCAATCGGGTCTCTGAACCTGCTGAAGCAGGATCATTTGATCCATTGATTGGAAGGAAAGTGAGGACTAGATGGCCTGATGACAATAATTTTTATGAGGCAGTCATTACTGACTATAACAAAGCTGAGGTACACCTGATTTTATTGCGCAAAGCTTTGCTTCTTTTTTTTCCTTTTTGTGGTTGAATGCGTGAATCTTGTGATGCGCTTTTTCAGGGTAGACATGCTCTTGTTTATGACATTGGTACTACAAATGAGACATGGGAATGGGTCAACCTTAAAGAGGTAATAGATCCTATGTTCTGATGGCATGCTTTGATATACTGTTTGACTGTCCTGCAGGCAAATCTTTTTCTTATTGGTTTATGTGGTTGGTCATATCAAGAAAAATATCTGTTGTATAATTCAGAAAATTGTATGATCTGTATCCCGTTACCTGTGATGTAACCAAGCATGCTCTAAAGTATTCACTAGAAGTTTCCATTTATTACGGAAGCAAAAAAAAAAGGAAAAAAAAGGGAATTTTGGATTTCAAGTTCAGGATTCTAAGTATAGAGTCTGAACCATTTCCCTTGGGAACTGCTAGGTAGAGGGCAAAAATCTCTGTAAAGGTGACTTCACCATATTTTCTCTTGAAGGTATAATTTCCATGTGTCTGATGATGTGCAACTATATTGTTTTATGTGGGACCTATTTTCCGTAAATGGTAGATAGCTGTAACTTTTTGAGCATGCCAAGTCCAACATTTTACGGCATGTGCCTTTAAGAATACTTCATAGTCTTCTGTACTAAATTCAATGAAGTTTACACCATGCATTTGGGAGATTGTTGGTCCATTCTCAAGTCTTCTGGAATATGCACTTATCGAAAGATTCCACCATGTACCAAAATTGGAGCATAAATCTTTAGTATATCAAGAAAGAAGTAGAGAAATCAATAGCAGTTTGCTTATTTCTGATATTTAACTACTGTGAAAGTGCTCTGACATATAATATGTGGTGTATTTGACCTCAAGATGGGTGACAATCAAGATTATTGGTAGTTCAAGTCCTTATAGTATTCTCTCTATGGGGTGATCTTGTGAAATTTCTTTTTCGTCATCCATATTTATCAGTTCAAGTCCTTACATTCACTAAAGAGTGTCGGAGTTGCACTAATTGAATAGGAAAACCTTTGTTTGGTGTTGGTGATGGCTGAATGACTTACTCTGTAGGTTGCCAAAGTATATAAAAAACATATCAATGTTTGATTCTGGAAATAAAATGTGACATTCAGGGGTGGAGATTTGATCGCAAGAACCTTTTCAAACTCATTATGCAGGCTGTTATTAGCATGATATCTATCTCCAATGTTTAGAAGAGTCATAAAAATGCCTCTTTGTGTCCAATATGAACTACAGGCTGCCTGACAACCTACTCTGTACCCAGCGCATCATTCATTTTTATTCTTAGTTGCATCATGTGGTTATCAGTGTTCTTCTTTGTAGTTTTCTTGAAGAGCTTCTTCAAAGGTCAAATTTATATATCTCCTCTCTGACAGATTTCTCCAGAGGATATTCAGTGGGAAGGTGAAGACCCAGGAATTTCTCGTCATGGAAATTATGGTGGATCAGGCCGTGGCATGAGTAGGCCTGTTGGGCGTGATAGCGCTCCAGGTGCAGGCAGGGGAAGGGGGTTAACTAAACCACAGTCCAGAAAAGGCTTTCCACCATCACAGAATGGAGGAAAGAAGGGATCTGATGATATCCAGTTACTTCACACGGAAACACTGATTAAGGAGGTTAGCAACAGTAATTTAATCTCTGTTGCGCATTGAGATGTCGCATTTTCTATATTTGTTCATAGACTGGCAAATGTCATCAGGTGGAGAGGGTCTTTGGCGCCAGTCATCCAGACCCTTTGGAGATCGAGAAGGCAAAAAAAGTGCTAAAGGTAAGAGACACCACCTGTCTGGTAGTGGTTACTGCTCACTCATTTTGTGGCAAAGGAAAATTAAGTTTGTTACTGTGCAGGAGCATGAGCAAGCACTTCTGGAGGCCATCTCAAAGCTCGGAGAGATCTCTGATGGCGAGAGTGGTATGACTATGCCAAAATATTCCTGCATTTGCTTTTCATTTTAGCATCACGATAAGTGCATGGGATTGGAGAGTTTAACTCTATGATCCTCCTCAACTTAACTTTTTCTTAAAAAAAAATAAAAATAAAATTTATGATCTTTTTCAAAGTCTGAGTTCCTATCAAGTCCTAGAAGTTTACTTGTTTGGCTTTGGCTTATTTCAATTTGCGGTCAAATTTACCTCCAAAAGCACAATGTTTACCTCCCATCATCTAAATCAGGACGTTCTGGAAAAATATCTTCAGAGAGAAAATAAAAGCTTGGTAGATCTTCACCAATGCTTCTTCTCTTTTACTTTATAGACTTTGGGACAATCTTTTTCTTGATACCTTTAATACCATAATGTCAGCTGGAACTTTTACTTTTGGTAGGATAAGTGGCCTAAAATCAATACAAGGAGTGAAGGAGTGATGATGTCAAACAAGCATAACTTGAAGGACTTAAGACAAGATCATTGTTTAGGAGTAACAGTACACTTCCAAAATTAGGGACATTTGATGCTATTTCCTCTTAAGTTTTCTTATTTTTGAATGATGTTGGACAAGTTCCTTGCTGGCAGACGGCAGTAATGGCATAATTTATCCTTATAAAAAAAAGTAACTGTGTAATTTATATTGAAGTACTCCTATGCTTCTAAATTGTGTTCTTGGAGTGGATGGAAGTTGAAGTACCCTGCAGGACATATTTGTGCTTTTGCTTCTCTATGATACTTATATTTTCTTGTTGTTTCATGTCAAACTACTTTCTTTGGAAAAATAAGTTTCATGTGAAGTTGTTTCGGACCATCCTAGGAAGCTTAGTGAATCATAGAGTTAATATAAATTGTCCATCCCTTTGACATTTATGTCACTGGGAAATACCTGAAATCTATCATTTTGTTTCATTCCTCTATTCAGAAAGGACTACATGTTTTTTTTCTTTGAGAAAGAATAAAGGAATACATGTTTTAAGAACAAAAAGATGTGTATCTGACCATCTGGTAAATTTTTATTCCATGTAGAGGTAGAAGTCACTAAGTTCAAGTTACCGCTTCTATATTGATACACATTGACAGAGAAACATGTTAATTCTCATGACAAATAACATATAATGAAATAAATGACATGGCCAAAATACATAAAAGCGAGATACTAGTTACTACTGTGATGTAACAGGAACAATAGAAATGTGAAACAGTTAAAGTTGAAGCCCGATGTGTCAGATGGTATTATAATTCGAGTGAATACCATTAACTGGAAGTAGCATAACACCCAACCTGACACTTCCACCGTCAACAGCTCAATCTTTTGCTGCTGCCATCTTCACTACTAGGTCCAGCTCAGTACACACACACACACACTCTTACCAGCTTTGGCACATAGCACAGAACACCGCTTAATTTCATCAGATCATTATGGATTACTGGCCCATTTCTTTTGTATGAAATCCTTCCCAGTTCTAATTGGAAATCAAAATCTCCCTGCTGAAGGTGTAATAATTTTTAAGAAGGTTCTGGTTGACAGGATTTATTATGTAATGTATTTTTGGAGAATGAGAAGTGTAAAATGGAGGGTGGGGAGCAAAAAGGTATCTCTGTACTTTGTGGGAATGCATGGATGAGGACTTGTCCACCTTCATTTTGTTGTTGTTTATAGCTTTTCTTAGTGAAGCATGTAAGCATGTGAGTGTTTGTATCTTTTCTTAATGAAACTTGAAGCATGTAAGTATGTGAGTGTAGTGTGTTTCCACCAAGGTTACCCGGAAAAGAGTCTGCAATCACTAGTGAAGTAGGTTGGTTATGCAAAGCTTCTATCTGATCTCTGAGTCCATCAGGCGTTGCATCACTTCTTGATTGTAAAAAAATTAACAGATCTCTTCTGATTGCAACTGATCATGTCATAATAACAACCATCTAGGTTTATTGGGAAAAAAGGAATGAAGACCAATGTTCTTCCATTTCTTACTGATTTGTGTTTCTATCCGTACTGCTGCAGATGAACATTTCATGCAAGCAATGAATCGGGAATGACAGGGATACCAATGATGGTAACTGATTGCTATACAGAAGCTGTGGCATGAGCCACTGAAATAACAGCTAAAATGGAGCAAGATACATGTGCTCTAAATGGTTGCCAATGTGTTGAAACAACAGAATGATTTTAGGTGTGTTGTATAATGCCGTGTTCAAGGAAAGCTTTGCTTACATTATATCATTGTAGTCTAGTCTTTTTTTCTTCTTCTTTTGGCTTAGGCCTATTTATAGCCGGATAACTGTTTCCTGTAGTGGCAGGTTAGTGTTCTTGTAAAATTAGACGGTAGCAGTTTAATGTGTGATCATGTAAAAAGGTTCTATTGATATAGTGGTGCTAGAATTGGGAAAATGAACAGCTTAGTTATTCTTTTGCCATTTATTTCATTGCTAATTTAGGTTCTAGTGGCCAACATTGTATAGTTACTTTCCGTTTCAAGGATGTTGGATTTAAAATAGAAGTATCTTGTACTATTTGAACAGTCTAGACATGAGTAAAATTGTAGAGGAGCTTTAAAGCTCGATTCGACACTAGTCTTTTTTAGTTATTAGAATGAGGATAAAGATGTCGAGAAAAGATATTTGGTAAAAAGGAAGCTGAACTTTATTTTTGGTTCAGATAGGACTTGGATTTTTGTTGAAGACATTTTTTAACACTTTTGTTGTGGGATGTAGACTGAAACTCCAAGTCACCTTTGGATCTCCAACTAGGACCAAAAAAGTGGTATACTTCGTATGTTTTGTTGTCAAAAATATTTTTTTACTATTAAATAGGGGAATATGACTACCCTCACGAGTCATCTTCCTTTACGATTCTTCTAAATTCTAATTCTTATTGTATCACTCTTCCAACCAACATTTAAATTAATACTCAAAAATTACATGGTGATTTTTGCATGAATTGGGATCTTAGTGTCCGTTTGGATTGGCTTATTTTAAGTGCTTTTAAGCCAAAATAACTTTTAAGCCATTTTGTAGTGTTTGGATAGAGTAAAAAAGTACTTTTAAGCACTTATTTTTAAGTTAAAATGACAAAAACAAGCCAAAAGCCAAAAGCTAGAATTCCTAACTTATGGCTTAAAAGCTATTTTGACTTAAAAGTCACTTAAATTAAGCCCATCCAAACGGGCTCTTAATCCCTAGTAAATCTTGACCATTCAACTTGGTAATATACATTAAAAAAAAAAAAAAATTGTTGCACCTAAGGTCTAAGGATCACTGTTCCAAAGAAATGCGCTGCTGTTTGGCCAAGCTTCTCTAGACTCTAGAGGCCAAAAGTGCTTTTTTTCTTTTCTTTCAAAAGTACCTTTTTTTCAATTTAAGATATTTGGCCAAGGTTTTTTTTGGGAGAAAAGTGGTTTGAGAAGAAGCAGAAGCGTTTCTAAGAAGCAGGAAAAAGTAGCTTTTCCCCAAAGCAGAAGCAGTTTTAACTTTTTTTCTTACCAATAATACCCTTAACAAAATATATACCAAAATAACGTTACTTGTTTTAAACCTAATACTTAGGATACTAATATATAGGTATTTCTTCTCATTTTAGGATAGATTTGTAATATATAGTGACTTCAAGGGTGAATGCTTTTATATTTGTTGAATGATTTTTCAATATATTTAAATTATTTTAAAAGAATTAAAATATTTTTAATTTTATTTTCATAAATGAAAGGATTTCTTTATTGTCATTAATAACAAAAATTTGAGATTATCTACTTACTTATAATATTAACTATTAAGTAAACTATTCATGTCCTTATTTGTAATTTGATATTAAAAAGCACTTTTTGAAAAGCTTGGTCAAATACAAATTATTACTTAAAATTACTCTTTACTGCTTTTCTTCAAAAACATTTTTTCGAAAAGCACAATTCAAAATAAGCTGATTTTTTTAGCTTGGCCAAATAGACTAATACTATTTAGGATTACATATACATACGTGCCTGTATTTTCTTTTCTAGTTGAAGTCTTACGCACTAGGTGTAAAAATGTTGGGAAATTTTCATAATTACTTAGGAATTTATAAAATATTTCATAATCTACAACTAATAATAGAATAACATATTCTACAACAAATGTATAAAAATAAACCT